GTGTCGCAGGATACCCTCTAGGTGATAGTTCTTGATTACTTTTTGATAAATAATTCGTTCTTATTGCGAAATAGGAGAAAAACTCACCCTGTATAAATAGTTGGAGCTCAATGCATATCATTCACGATTCGAGATGCAGGGTGTTTATGCGTATGGTACGAAAGGTGTGAAAACGACTCAAATGGGCCAGTATTTTGAAGGAGAAGAAATTTGAAAATTGTGTGGGGATGAGTGCAATTATGAAGTTTAATTTTCGCAGCGCCGCATTGCTTTCATAATGGCAGATAATGATAATCGTTTGTAAATAAGCACAGACTAAGTTGTGAATTGCGCCGCTCGTAGCAGCGCACCCCCATCGTTTACCATTACACGAGCTTTAGATTGCTTTTGTTGGTTAATAGACATCGCTTGTCGGCAGTGCTGAGCGCGGCGGGAGCCGTATTTTCCAATTGCTGACATATCGTGACGATACTTTCTAAGCACGCGGTAATTGTCAACAAACAAAAGCGCACCGACAATTTTTCAAAAAATTCTTCGTCCGCTTCTTGAGCGCAGTATGAGCACGGAAATCAAAGATCAATCTCCTGAGTACCGTTTGTCTCCTGAGCAGATAACCGATATTGTTGACGCTAATCAATCCGCATCTATGAACATTAATTGCTCCGTCGACTTTCATAGTAGTTTCGGGGTGAGTTGTGAGCGCTTTTCGTGGCACGAGCACGTATATAGAAAAATGAGTAATAAACCTACGCCACATTACATTGAAAATATTTTAGGCTTGGGAAGTATAAACTCTCAATCGCAAACGCTAAATACTCGGCAAAATACTTACCCTAATCGGTGTACTGTGAGTAATTTGGAGATAAATGAACCCCTTAATCTTTCGGTGAAAAGTGAACCCACAGTCAGGACGAAATGTGCAAAAGGTAACTTAGTCTATTTCAGTTTAACTTTAAGATGTTATACCCTTTCGTTCAATCATTTGCACCCCTGCCCCATGCCAGGTTACCTTTACGGTTATTACCTGATTGCTTGCAAATTTGTGTTATTGGATTATTTTTTGTTAATTGATGGGCCACTTTAATTAATTAAGCAAAGCGCAATGGGGCGCGAATGTCACCTAAAAGGTTTTGCTCTGCATTTTTATCGCACTCTTCACCTCAAATTGAATTTAATTTTATCCATTCCGATAATGCAGTATTTAAAATAGTTAATCATTCCAAGACTTTTATTAAATAAGACCCAAAACGCTAAATGGCGCACATTTAGAAAATCATTATTCATCGTTAACTGGACAATTTTTCCCAAAATTTTCAATTAGGTACATTCGCAACAAGAAATTACAGATCCACAATACTGAATTCCTCCAATCAAGGTTCAGGGCATAATTCGCATTGAGAGCATTCTATGGGAAACTAAGTAACTTTCGCTGAAGTTAAAATCGAACTAATACTCCAGAATTATCCAATAACACATAATAGAATAAATAAACTGACGCTACCATTGAATTATTGAAGCTAAGTTCTGATTCCCCTGAGAAGTTCAGAAAATTTCCAGTAAAACCTAACATGCGTTACTATTAAATGTATTTTCCTGTTTCATTTCCCAAAGGCGTTGTTGACAACGTATGGAACACTTAACATGCGAAGTACTGATGTACGTCGCAAAAAAGCAATGAGGACAATTTTATATTTAAAAAAAAATGAAAATGTTTCTGGTCTGGTCTAAATTGACACAAATTTGGTGGAGACTTGGATTCAAAAACAGTTTTATTTTGTTTTTCTTGGCACTTCCAACTGGAACTAATACACATAACAAGCTAAATAAAAAATAGTTTACTTCAAAGTGCTCTCGTGAATAACCAAGATAATTATTTCAGTTTATAATTAATGAAACTTCCATCACTTGCTGGTATACAAGTCTAATGGATGGATGCCGTTACTATTTCTAGTACACATTTTCAAATGAAATAATTAGAACATCAATATGAACAGACGAATTAGTGGAGAAACTATCAAATTTGCTAATGAGCGTTATGTTATGATATTTTCGATGAATTATTTAGTATTCGAAACTCTCATTTCAATATTTATTACTGCTTATTATTCTTTGATACACATTCATACATTATTAATTTTTGCAGCCAACTTTACGCAGGATAATGGAGATATGTGTTTAAAAAATGGGAAATCCTGAATAATGATATTCAGTTCAATTTTAATTTTCAGTTTGGTTTTAATTGATAAATGCCGTACTATCGCCTAATTTTTGCCACATTTGCGGCTGCTACCAAACAACAAAACCACTTAATGGGTAAAAATCAATAAAATCAAATAATCTCTTCGAAGGTCCTACATATATACTTGTTTTGATTAAACAACTATAAAAACTATTGAATCCCATCAAATGGACTGGTTCCATAAAATGTCCTATTAGGTTTTATTTCCGCTTTTATTTGATTTTTTCCAGGCTTTATGCTTAACAAACCATTATATTAGACTTTGCGACCTTTTCACGTTTAGTGCTGGAATTAATTCGATGTTTAACAACTGTTGAAAATGGGCCGCTTTTAATATGTAAAACATTTTTCTTTGATAAAATTGGAGTCATTCCACTGGAGGGGTTGTTAATGCCTATGTGGAAAAACACGAAAAAACGAAACATTTTTAAGAGGAAATGAAGCTTTTGGCACAATCACAGCCCTCAAACGCTACAGATATTAGTAGGGTTAATCTCAGGCACCGATCATCATAGCTCAACATCTGTATCAACTTCTATAAAAAAAATTGAGTCTGCTTCTCAAAGATATTAAATCTATATTTTCTACAGTAGTGTGGTATAAATTAGCAGAGAACCGCACTTTAATCTTGCATATTTTTTCTTCTATTATTAGTTTCGATAAAGTTCCAAACACCAATAGTAGTAACTACCAATTAATTTTATAGAACCGACCACGAGAAAACGAAAAAAAGCTCGCGAAACCGTAGAACCCAAGGCAGAGCTACCTGAAGAGAAAACAGTTCTTCATGTAGACAGCAGCTATCCAAAAATTGATACAGCTCAACCAACAGTGGTAGACGACGTTTTCGAAAACAAAAAAGGAAAAAAGAAGGCTCGAACCACATTTACCGGTACATACATTTCCTCATTTCCTGATTATTATGGCCAATATGTGTAAAATATTGATCGATTAATGTTCAATTTTTAATTTAGGTCGGCAAATCTTCGAATTAGAAAAGCAATTTGAACAGAAAAAGTACCTAAGCAGTAGCGAGCGATCCGAAATGGCCAATCTTCTCAACGTTACAGAAACACAGGTAATATTTTCCATAAATTTCCTTCTATTGTAATCCAATGAAAGCAAAAAATCTAAATAGAAACAACAGGCTTCAACTCACAAGCGGAAGAGCCAATAAATAGCGATTGCGTTTCAATTTCCCTGTAAATATAGGGAATAACTACTACATTCCACGTCAGCAAAACACATACAATTTTCCACTGATTAATCCAACTAAATTTCGAGTAGCAACGTATTTAAAGCACCATTCAATATCGATCCCCGACATTTGGGGTTGTATACTTTCGTTTGGATGAAAACTTTACAGCTGTTGAATGCCTCGGGGAACAGAATCGGTTTGGAGTCATTTAGGAAAATTAAACGACATTTTTATTATTCACGCCATTGGGGAAAATGTAGAGGGATAATGATTAACACCTTTATTCTTTGCTTAATGCACGATTAGGTAGAAAGGCAGATACATTGTTAGAACTTCTACAATAACGATTTTCGTTTATTTGGGTTCTTCTAGAAATGATTATTTTACAACTCGAGTTAATCAACAATAAATTGAATAAAAGTTGTTTATCAATGAATATTTTCCGATCTTTTTAACCGTTTGGCGAAATTCCGCAATTGGCCAATTTATTTCAATGGGATTCACTTTTCCTCTTCTCGCTCATCGAACCAAAAAAGTTGCAACGTATTTCTTTTTTTGCTGAGATCCGCAAGTCAATATTTTTAAAAGGGGAGAAATAAAATTTAAGTAGCTTTTTGCAGAGCGTCGAGCCATTTATGTGGTAGAATCAGGACGTTGCTCATGAAGAAAATAATTATTTTTGGCACAAAAATGCGTATTTTGATGCTGTTATGCTTAGTTTCTGATTAGTTTTCATTCGTCAATTTAAATATTTTATTCCAACCCTCAGCCTCTACCATGTTGATTATTATCATTCGGCTTATACAGATGTACACTTAGTGTCACTCCTCTAGAGAATGAGGAATACACAATTTAGGTTGAAGTGTCAACAACATGAAATCATTATAGTTGTTAAAAATAGAAAAGCTGCCGCTGAAATTGATGACATGATAATTATTCCACCAATTGATGTGACAGTTAAAGGTAATAGAGTTCTGATATGCCTAAAAATACGGCTTTTCGAATTTTTATATGTGGAGCCATTAACACAAAATTGTTTTTAGTCATTTCTTGGAAGAATGAATCCCTCGGTTTATGACACTTTAAAATAAATGTGCTTTAAAGTGCATTAAGAGAACCCATAGAACGAGGTGGCGTTAAATATCGCATACTTTTGCTAAGTTGTCTCGATTCGCAAATTAAACGTTGTTTCTTCATGCCATTTTCCTCATATAAGTGAATTTAACCGTTGCAGTAATAGAGTTACTTAAAATAGATGAGAACAAATTAATAAATGGGACTATAAATTCGTGGGATAATGTACAGCTTAACGATTTTTAGGAATCTGCATTTGTAACTATTAGGACAGTATATCCGGTGGAAGGATAATAAATTTATAACTCCAAGAACTTAAAATGCCGCTGGTGGGTCATATACTTAAGCTGTCAAAACAGAATTTACATTTATTCGTGCTATTAATGGCGCTCTCTAATTTCTTCTAAATGTTAAGTTATAACGCCTGCAGTTAATAATGCACATTAATGAGAGCGGTCTATTAAAAGAAGCACATATTTTCAAAGGAAATAATTACCGCTTATTTGCTTAGCTGTCTAGGGAACATCTGAACTGATGTTAAGTGTTACTATTTAATTTGGAAGCGATATTGCTTTACAGCTCTCCAAATAGAATTTCATTTTAATTTTCCATTGTTTGTATACGGGAATTTTATTGATTATTTCCCTTGTTCATTCATTTTTATTTTCGGATTATTCCTAGTTAATTTTTTATTTGTACCATCAATTTTTCGAAGATGACTAAGGCCTTAGCGGCAATCGGGCAGGCCTTTCAGCTTCTTCAGAGGTCTATCACAATTGACCCGTTAAAAACCCGTTTATCCGAATGAATCTTGAGGGGAAGTAGCTCAAATATTATTGATATTAAATGAAAATCAAAGCGTTCAATGTAGTTAATTTGAATAGAACCGTCATTGGAGCCCCTTTTCCGCTGAGGTATTAGCTGCAACTTACCAATAAACGTTTGCAAAATGGGCTCATTATATGTGAGGAAGACGTCTAATAATTACTCTCCACTGTTAATAGCAAATCGCTTCATTCCGCATTAGCTTCTTTGAACTATTAATACTCTTTGTCTGTTTACATTTAATGAATTGCTCCACAAATTGGCAAGAGCGTGGTGCACTACCCCATAATTAACCTCGTAAGTGGGGATAGCAATTACGTTATTGCTAGATCGATAGCGACGGATTCATTTGATATTTATTAAAGTTCCCGGCTTTAATATGTGTTGCATGCTTTATTGCAAGTTTGATATGGTAAAAGGGCTA